ACATCAAAAGATATTAATTTTATGATTATTTTCACTTTTTTTTATGTTAACATTTATTTTTTAGTTTGGAATTACTTTTTATTTATAATAATAAAATTTTACATTATAATTTAATTACTTACATTATAATAATATATTTTTGCACTTGTTCTTATGTTTTATTATGTTTAGAATTATCACAACTTTTTTCTTCAAGTGTTACAATACTTTTAATACACTTTATGCTAAATGATCAAATTTTATGATTATTCTCATATTTTTGCATAAATACTTATTTTCCAGTTGAATTATTTATTTATATAATAATAATAATAATAATAATAATAATTCTTTTATGTTATCAACTTAATTATTTACATTAAATTTTTTTTTTTTGCATTTGTTCCTATATTTCATTACGTTTAGAATTATTATAATTTTTTCTTAAGGTGTTATGATAGTCTTAACCTATTTTACACCAAATTATACTAATTTTATGACTATTCTTTTCTTTTTACATTATAATACTTTTAATACATTTTACGTTAAATTATACAAATTTTAGGATATTACAACACTTTTACATTAGCACTTATTTTTAGGTTATAATTATTTTTTATTTATAATAATAATTTAATAATTTTTTATGTTATCAATTTAATTATTTACGTTATAATAAAATCTACTATGTTTGTCTTTTCATTTTATTATATTTAGAATTATAATAATTTTTCTTAAGTATTATGGCATTTCAAACATATTTTACATTAAATTATACCAATTTTATAATATTCTCACATTTTTTTTCTTTAACACTTTTTTTTATTTAGAATTATTTTTATTTATAATACTAATTTTTTTACATTACAAATTTATTACGTTTCAATAATATTTTTTTACACTTATTGTAATTTTTCATTACGTTTAAAATTATTATAATTTTTTTGTTAGTGTAACAATACTTCTAACCATTTTACGTAAAATAATACCAATTTTACAATTATTCTCGCTGTTTTTATTTTAAATTTTATTTTTTGTTTAAAATTATTTTTTATTTGTAACAATAATTTTTTTATATTGTCAACTTAATTATTTACGTTATAATAATATCCTTTTATGCTCATTGTTACATTTCATTATGTTTAGGATTATCATACACTTCTAACCATTTTACACCAAATGATATCAATTTTGAGATTATTTTCACTTTTTTTTTATACTAACACTTATTTTTTGTTTAAAATTATTAATTATTTATAATAATAATTCTTTTACGTTGCTAAAAATATTATTTATGTTACAATAATTTTTTTATACTTGTTCTTACTTTTTGTTATGTTTAAATTTATCACAATTCTTTATTAGGATGTTATAACAATCTAATCCAATTTATGCCAAGTAACAATAAGTTTACAACTATTTTTATCTTTTTACGTTACTTCTAACACACTTTAAGTTAAATGATTTCAATTTTATAACTACTCTCACTTTTTTTACTTTAACATTTCTTTTATTTAGAATTAATTTTACTTATAATAATAAATTTTTTTATATTGTCAACTTAATTATTACGTTATAGTAATATCTTTTACGTTTGTTTTTATCTTTTAATATGTTTAAAATTATCATAATTTTTTTTTTAAGTATTATGACATTTTAACACATTTTATGCCAAAAAATGCCAATTTTACAATTATTCTTATATTTTTATGTTACAACTTATTTTTTGGTATAGAATTATTTTTTATTTATAATAATAATTTTTTATATTACCAATTTAATTAATTACATTTTAATAATTTTTTTATACTTGTTGTTACTTTTTATTATGTTAAGAATTATCATAATATTTTATTAAAGTATTACGATACTTATAATCATTTTACGTCAAATAATACTAATTTTAATATTATTCTTTTTTTTACATTAACTTTTAATGCACTAATGAAAGTGAAACTAAAATTTCAAAGCAGAGATGAATGTGTAATAAAACTTCAAAATGCTTGATTGATCTTATGAAAACATAGTAAAAAAATAATAAAAAGAAGAAGAACCCTAACAATTTTAAAATTCCTTTAATAAGAAGAAGAAAAACCTTAGTAGTGTCAAAATTCTTTTAATAAAAAGAAAAAGAACCTAACAGTTTTAAAATTATTTTTATTTTATTTAACAAATAATATTTAATGTTAATTAATTAAAATTAAATTAGCAATTTAATAGATAATTAATTATTTTTATAATTAAAAAATTAATATACTTAATAATTATTATTTAATGACCGATAAAAAATTTAAACATACTTTAGAAGTTCTATTGGACTTTGGGAATGGTAACGTTGTTGTCATAGAAAGAAAAAAAATGATAACAACAGGAGAATCTAGTAATGTCAGTGGAAACTTCTCAACTGACAGAAATTCAAATACCGAATTTTTTTTTTATATGAAGCATACAAAAGTTAGAGATAAAAAAAACATGTTCGAGATATAGGCAGGATTTGAAATTAACTGTAACTTCGTTGAAGGTGCAATTATTAAAAATTTTGTGTCAATCGGGAATAGATAATCATTTGAATGTCACCATAATAGTAGAGCGAAACCCTTGTCTTCATTAATAAATTTTGATCTACTGGTGGATTAAAACTCAACTTTTATTTTTTTTAATCCTTTACTTTATGTTATAAATATAAAAATGTCCTTTTAATTTAATTTTTTTATTTTGATTTTTTATTTAAAAAATATAAAATTAATAAATAAATGTTATTATATAATAAATTAATAAATAAATGAAATTTATTATTATATAACAACTATTTTTTTATTACTTTTTAATTATTATTTAATAAAAAATTATTATTTATCATAAAAATAGTTTAATAATTTTTAAAATTTTAAATGTTAAATAATTTTAAATTTTTATTACATATAAATTTTAATGTAATATTTTTAATGGTCATTTTTTTTAATTATAATTTACTTTATGAAAAATTAATTTCAGCTTTATCACTATTTTCACTTTCATTGGAATCAAACTAATCACCTACCTAAATAGATTTTTAAATTTTAAAATTAATTGATGTTATTTTTTAAAAATAATTAATTAAATTAATCAAATTAAAAATTGAATTTAAGAGGTTATGGTACATGTGTGCTTTAAGAGCAATTTTAAATTATTATATAAAATAATATTTTTATTCAATTCATTAAAAATTATCAATAAAATTAGTAATTATTGTATTTAATAGAAGATTATTATTATAAATATAATATCAAACAACCAAACATTACCTGACGTGGCAACAGACATTATAGGAATATAAGATCGAAATAATACTTGATTGAACAAAGTTTCAAGATCAATGATAGAGATTGTAATGATCTCAGAATAAGACTCAAAAGTATTTGGTTCAGTAATTATTACTGCATCAGTCTTGTTAATGAAAGGATCATGAATTAGATTACCATTATAATGATTTTTAGCTCGACATTTCTGAACGAGATAATTAGTCTTCCTACATCGTGAACAAGACTTGTGGAAAGTAGAGCTAGTACTTTTTTTAGGCGCAATAGCAACAACAATATCAACACTATGAGTCTGACTCATATCTAACTGAGTTTTCTTAGATATTAATTCCATAAGAGTATTGTCCATAATTGGTAAGGGATGTCGACGCAAAAGTGAAGACCAAATATTCTCAAATTCATCTCAAAGTGTCATTAGAAATTGAATAAAATGAATTTGATTTCAATAAGTAATAAAATTACTAGCATCACTTTCATCTTTGAATTTTAGCTTAAAATTTTTAAGTACGTCTCATAAATGTTGTATTTTAGAATGAAAATCATCAATTGACTGACCTGGTTCTTGACGAAAGCGAGATAAAGTGATCAAAATATAATATTGATTAGTAAAGGTAGTAGAGCTATACTGTGTGGCAAGAAAATCCTAAGCATCTTTAACAAGTTCAAATCACTCAAAATATACATTGGTAGAAGAAACAGTAGTGTTGGTGAACCATGTTAAAATTCGATAATTCTTACTTTTTCATTCTTTTAATCGATCTGCAAATTTATCACTGGATTTTTTTTTTCTAGTGTTTTGCATTCTCTGATAATAGTAAACCATAAATTTATTCACTTTAGATAACTATGCATAACCATAACCCACCTATTGTAGTTATTTTAATCAAAGATAATAAAAATTAGTTGTACATTTTCTCGTTGAATACTTGCTATTAAGTTCTTGAAAAAAAATAGAGATTGAAAAAGTTATGAGTATTGATATAACAGATGAATATTAAAGATGGAAAGAGAAACCTAAAAAATTAAAGTGCGAAAGCAAAAAATAAGGTTTAGAAAGCAGAATAAACCAATGATGAGAATAAGCAAAGTTATTCCAAAGCGATTCACCTTCATAATAAACCATGAAATAACTCTGATATTATGAAAAATGAGAAAATGATGAAAACTTTATTATAATGACTTGTGTTTTACAATGAGACATAAAGCCTATTTATATAGAAATAAACTATTACAAAATAAAAAATATAATAAATAAAAGTAATGACTAAATCAATTTCTATAATCATCTAATCAATATCTAAATCAATATTTAATATTCTTTAAATCAATATCAAATTAATCTAAAATATTATTGAAATATTATTAGAATAATATTATCAATTTAAAACATTATCAAATTATTACTAAAATATTATTGACAATTTTAAAAATATTCAAAAAACACGTTAGTAAAATATTTATTTTATTATTATCATATAAATCATAAAATGAAGAGAAAGTGGATAATAGTAATTATTGAACTACTTTAATCCATGAACATTATAAAGTAGACACCCCCATTAATTAGTGGGATTCCCATTCTCATCCCACCTTCCAATACCCAAAACATTGAGTAAATACATATAATATTCTATTCTAATTTTAGTTATACAAATATACTGTATTCTACATGTGTTATTGGCTGTGCCTGGCTCCTCAGAATTTCTTTCTTTTTTTTTTTTTAAGTCAAATAACGTGCTTGGTGGGGACCCTGCACTTAAAACATCAATAATTTCACATTATATTGATTATTCTTCGTTTCCATCATATCTTAATATCTATCTATTCGACTTCTTGTTCTTGTCATCTTGTGCACTTTTTTTTTTTTCCAAGGTTTCCTGGTTTTGCTGCAGCACCCATGGCTAAATCAGGTGTGTTCCTTATCTTTCTCTCTTCTTATCTTTTTATCTGTTCTCTTTAAAGAATGTTTGATTTTTTATTATCCCTTTGGATGATGATGTTGGTTCGACGAATGTTAATATATCTTGTTTAGATTTCTGAAAACTATTGCTCATGGTTTTTATCAACTGTGATGGATTTTGCTGCTTTTTTTCCACTGTTGTATTCCAACAGATACATTTTGGCATTTAAACCAACACTTCCTACTCCTAAACTCAAGAGTTCCAAGGGAGAGGAATGTAAAATAGGAAAAACATAGAATTTAAGTGTCATCAAATCGAGTCATATAAAAAAGAAAAATTGAGTTTGATTAGTTTGAGTTTGATTTTTTTTAATTTAAATTTAATTTAAAATTAAAATGAATTATTTCAGCTCGATTTTCATATTTAATTTTAAGTTTTATTATTTATACTTAAATTCAAACATGAATTGAGGTTTTTATACATGATAAAAATAAAATAATAAATTATTATTTTAAAAAATAAAAATATATATTAAAACAAAAAAAATTTAATTAAATTTATAAATCACTCAAATCAAATATTAAATCTTCAAATACAAACTCGAGTTCCACGATAATCAAGCCGTGTTCAATTTTTTTAGCCAAACTCAAGTAACTAGTGAACGCATGTTTCTTATTTAGACCACTAGTCCAAAGGATATCATTATCCTTATTTTGTTTTGTTGCAGGCTTTAGGCAAAAGTAAAAGTGCACTCAAAGGACCAGGTTGACTGACTTTAGGTTGACTGATTTATCTGTACCAACTCTCGTTTAAATGATTTTTGGTTCAAATTGGAGATGGAAATAAGACCTAACTCCAGAAAATGAGCCCTTCCTTTTCTGTACAACTTTGATCACCCATGTCTGCCAGGAAATCAGTCAGGAAATATAGTGAGAGCCCCTCTAATTTGTTACGCGCTTCTCTCGATTCCTACATTGATTGGATACATTGTTCAGCGCACATGACCTCATTTTTCAAAATATCATCTCATCTAAATAAAATTCCTTTGTTGTATTCTTGTAATGCTTTAATATTTTCCATAATAAATAAAACTTTTTTTAATCAATTAAACCTCTTCTTTTTTTAAATGGAAACTTAACCTTTTGAACACCACTATTAAGCACCAATCTTCTTGCTACCCAGAATTTCCAGCATCCTTTTCCTCCAATGTCATCCCCTTTCTTAAATCAAATTTCAGTTGAATCAATCCAGAAATGATTTTAAAATCCTAAGCCCTAAAATCCCAAATTTTCTTTTTTCTTTTTTTCAAACCGGAATTTCTAGCACTCAGTTATATATTTTGATACTCAGGTTATCAGGGATTGAATCATGTGAACTAAAAAAATCCGCTCTACCAACATATTGTATCATTGTCAGGTTACTCAACTTATATATCATACATATTATTTCCTGCGGTAATTAAATCAGCCCATAACTTTGACTCCTAATGCTTGCAAAAGAGTTGTTGGGCTGTACGTTTTGGTTTTTGACAGTAGTGTGTCCCATATGTGAAATAAAAAGTAAGTTATGCATCCTACTTTTAATTAGGTGTAAAGTAAATAATTTCCTTTTTCCTGCTCTTTTAAAAGGTATTGAGAGGTTGTTGGGTCCATTTTCCTGGCAGAAAAAGGAAAGTTGCAATTTTGAAGCTTTTTCCAAATGGCATCCTCTAAAGCTTATTACAATCTGGCTCCTCCTGCTTTCCATAAGAACCAGTTACTCATCCGTGAAGCCTGATGTTGAAGGTATGGTAACTGTAACTTAAGTCTTTTTTGATAATTTGAATATATTATGAATGTAATCTGATAATATGACGCTCTGAATTCTCCCTTGCCATTTTATTTTTGGCTTTTGTTACATCCAATGCTTTTTCGTGTTTCCTGTTTAAATTAATAGTATTATCCATTTGGTGATAGAAAAAAAAAATTTAGTGCTATTGAATATGGATCAGTTCTGGAATGAGCTTATATACAGATGAAAACAGTAACAATGATAATTATTCACTACAATTCAGTTTGAATCACTTCCATGTTTATTGCATTAATGCCCTCAACATTTCCCCTCTTGATTTGTTTGACCTTTGGATTGACTCTATATTGGAAAATTATCCTATACACTGGCACCGGAGGTGGAGATTTTAACTCCACAAGTGTAATTAGATGGTTGACATGCGTCCTATTAATGCTATGAATGGACATATGACATAAAAAGAGAAAAGCTAAAAAAAAAAGAAAAAGAAAACTGATGTAGTTACGTGAGAGTTCACCAATCATTATAAAATTAATACTATGAATGGACATATGACAAGTGTTTAATTTTCCTTGTGGAGTTTAAAAAGTTCACCTCCATTGTATAGAAAAATAATCTGTCTACATTGTACCTAGCTATTGTTTTGCCTCCATTAAGCTTTCGAAGTAGCCATATCACACGCACACACTGACCCTCATGTATAAAATGGAATATTCTTTAGCGACTTAATATCAAATGTAATTTCTCGAAACTCCATCAGCTGTTGGTTGAAGTAACTTTTAACTTAGCAATTGTGTTATTTTCTCCTTTAATGTACATTGCTAATTGGTTTGATAAACTAAAGAGCTCACATAGGCACTTAGATTGAAACCGAAAAACTAATAGCATTGTCTTATTGAAACTCGTTTATGTAATTTGACAAGTTTATGTTGTGAACCAAAAGTTACGAGTCTTCAGTGACTGAGAAGTAGTTGGTATGAACTTGGAATGTTTTTCATCAATAGCAGTTAAATAATTAGCTATACACAGAGAAAAGTGAAAGTCAAATAGTTAGTTATTCGCATAAGTGAGAAAGATTATAGAAAGAGGTTGTTAGAAAAAATTTTGATATTTATTATTCAAAGTATTTAATTGGTATGCTATTATTTCCTATATTTTAATGAAATTATAGAAAGAGGTTGTTAGAAAAAATCAGCTTCAATGATGGATTAAAAATATAAGGGACCAGATTCTTGTAAACCAAGAACAATATTTTCGGTTGAAGTACCTTGCGGGCTTGATTTTGAAAGGAATATGACCTTAAAAATTTCCACGTTCATCTATTGTACACATATATGCCTAACCATTAATTCTTAATTGTTGAATTTGTGTATAGTCCACTTTAAGTTTCCAAAATGTGATTTGGATTTTCTATTAGCATTGGTATTCCAGACAATTGAATTACATGTTATAAGTAATATGTCAGCCTCTAAAACGTACCATTCATTGTACATTTTATAACATTTTAGTGCCATTAGGTAATTCATTCGTGAGTTAATTCAGATTTTTTTTTCTGAGACGAAAGAAATTTTTATAATAAAAAGCCAATAGGCTAGAAAGCTAGCAACAAGTTAGCGAAACAGAGAGCAAAATCTCAACTGTGAGTTAATTCAGATTTGATAATGATATCCGTCATTAGATTTTATTTCTGATGTTGATTATGAAGATTCATGGAAAAAGAATATGCCAACGGTTTTGCCTTATTGAATGTTACCAACAATGCGGTAGCGATGCATAATGAACAATCTAAAAAATTAACATGTATTTAGAATTAATTACATATTTAAAATTTAATGATAAAATAAATTTAATTTAAAATATTTTATTTTTATTATTATAAAATACATTCAATAATTCTTATTAACATTTATTTTTAAATGATTAATTGACTAAAGTAAACTAAAAACCAAATCAATAGTAATAATATTTTAAATTAAAATTAATTTATACTAAATAGTTAAAATAGTTAATGTGTAATTAATGTGTTGAGGAGAAATAAAAAAGAGATTTTAAAATTAATTTAATAATGATAACAAAATTAATTTGATTTGACAAAATAAAATTAATTTTAATTGATTTGATCATTTATTAATTATTTTAAAATTAATATATTATATACATATATTTTATATAAATATATAAAAACCAAAACATCTAATAAAAAGAAAATAATCTAATACGAATAGTTTACATTTTCAACATATAGACAATATAAAAAATTGATATATGTTTATAATTAATTATGCATTTAAAATTTAAAATTTAATGATAAAATAAATTTAATTTAAAATATTTTATTTTCATTATTATAGAACACATTTAATTATTCTTATTAACATTTATTTTTAAATGACTAGTTGACTAAAGTAAACTAAGAACCAAACAATAATAATAGTGTTTTAAATTAAAAGTAATTTATGCTAGAAATTAAAATAGTCAAGTATAATGTGTATTTAATAAGTATTTAATGTGTCGGGGAGAAATAAAAAAAGAGTTTTGAAATTAATTTAATAATATTAATAAAATTAATTTGATTTTCGTTTTGATCATCTATTAATTATTTTAAAATTAATATATATTATATATAGCTTAAAAGGTGAAGTCAATAGATCATATTTTTTAAAAAATTGGAAAGTATATTTTTTAATAATATAATTCAAAAGATAAATATTTATAATTGAAAAAATAGACATAAAATTATTTTATTTATTAATAATGACAATCAAAGTTTTAATACTTTTCATATGAATTTAATAAGAGTGATTCAAAATAAATAATAAAAAAATATATAGTCATTTTATTTTTTTGAATATTTTTAAATTAAAATATATAAAGTAAAATAAAATACATTTATTAAAGGAAACATGATATTTTTTAGGACTATCCACATGTCAATAATATAAAACCATTTACATTTTTCTTTTTGTTTTGTTAAAAACTTTATCTTTTATATATTTAAATAAAATAATAAAATAAATTTAAATTTAAATTATTATTGAAAAATTAAATTTCATTTTTATATATTATCTTTCTAATATTACAATACAACATTATATGGATGACTTTCTACCACGTGAGAAAAGAATTTAAATTACTTCTAATTAATTAGTCCATATAACAAACATATTTTAAAAACTTACTACCCATCAATTATTTGATTTTCAAACAAAAACTTATAATATTGGAAACTATATAATCATTTAAACAATTAATGTATTTTGTATAAAAATAATTTATTAAAATTTTTATTTTATTTAAACAAATTTCATCCACCATTAAATTAGTATAATCTAATATTGATTTGATTTTTATATTATATAGTCTTTATATTTATAATTTAGCATAAAATATAATCTAAAAATAACCAACAACAATGTAGATTATTGATAAAATGTTAAATTCATAGTTCCACTGATTAAGGTTATCATTCTAATAACAACAAATAATAAAAAAAAATCTAAAAAAATCTATTAAAATTAATGTACATAAAAATAGGAAAGAGTAGTCAATAAACAAGTATAAGCTTTCTAATAAAATTTTTAAAATTGATTATTTAATGACTATTTGATACATATATAAATATGCTTATCGTAATTAAATTATTATGTTTTTAATATATAAACATAACATTTAAAATTAATTTTGACATATATTTTTTAGATTATAAATTTTTTAATGTCTTTTGTTCGATAAATTTATAAAAATTTAAAATAACTTATTTTAAAATAAGTGATTGTTTAATCAAAAAACACTATTGTTACACTTACAAAACGTGAATTTAAGAAACTTAATTTGGATTTTATTTGTTATATAAATTATCAAAATAAAATGTACGTAGTATGTGTAAATTAATAAAATTCAATATAATTATTGATTTAATTTAAAAAATATAAAAAGATGAATTGTTTATTCATAAATATGTATAATATTTTAAACTCACTACTAAATAGACATCCAACAAATCTTTAAATTTAAAAATTAATTATAAAATAATGTTTATAGTTACGTGTGTTTTATCATACATTTTATATTAATTTTAAAGTCTAAATATCTTTTTTTAAAATTTAAGTTACTAAACAGAATCTATAAGTTGTTGAAAAAAATAAAAATAAAATATGTTCTCCAATTTTAAGTACAATTATATATGATGATTTTCTTATACTTTGATTTCAAATTGAAATAACTATAACAAATACAAATAAATTAAAATAATTTTATAAAAATTAAAAACCGCATGCATTGCACGGATTAAAAACTAGTTTTATTTATCATGAATTTTCATCTAATTTCCAATAGTTATTCCAAAAGCCATGGTCTGAATAAGTCAATATTCAACAATCATAGATATAGAGTCATAGACAAACATTCGAGCATTCCTGCTCTCTTTTGTTCCTTTTTCTTTCTTTCTGTTTTTTTTTTTTAATGTTAATTTCAATAAGCATTATATAGTATGTTCTTGTTGCCATCTTTATCGGCTGTCTCATTTATTTTTCATGTTTAATAACTGGGTTTTATATTTTTGCAAATCTTCAGGAGAAGCTTTGATTGAGTTTCTCAAGGTTCTCAATGATTCCAGTGGTCAAATAACGGATTGGAATGATAATTATGTCAGTCCATGCTCTAGCTGGTCTCATGTCATCTGTAGGAATCAAAATGTCATATCCTTGTAAGTCCATGTTAACTGAATTATGGTTAATTTGTTGTGAAAAACTTGCTTATTAGTCAATAATTGTATTACTCTTACTGATTATATTTTATTGACATTGCTTTAACTATAATTCCGTTACTTTGGGATAGTTAAGATCCTTAGCCAGACCCTACTGTACATTAACACCTAAGCTAACTCCATGTCTTCAATTTTTCAATAATAATAATAATAACAACAATTAAAATAACTTGTGAATATATTAATTGGCAGGAACCTGGCTTCAAATGGATTTTCAGGAAATCTTTCACCTTCGATAAAGAAACTGAAGTTTCTGGTTAACTTGTAAGTTATAATGTTATTGTATGATGGGGCTGACTTCATCAGCATTCATTAAATCTGGTGCATAGAGGAAAAGGTTGATGCAAGAGGATGCTAAATAATGTATACATACTGCACGTTGGCACTGGAAAGAGAAAAAACATATTAGTCTCAAAAACTAGAAAATGGAAAAACATATTGATAACACACACATATGAACACGTATATGTGTATGTATTTATATTTATATAATTAATGTTTTGGAAATTAAAAATATGAATATTTTGGTGAAGTATGTATATCACTGATGGACATGTGGGTTGTATGATAAAAACCTTAAGTAATTGGTGATTTCTTTATATTTTTTAATATCGGGAATTGATGGTTGAGATGTTAGAGATTAACTGCATACAGAAAAACTCACAAAGAAGATAACTCACAAAATTTTGAATAATGACAAAATATGATTATTGGATTAAAAGAGATAAAAATTCACCATCAAAACTAGAAACTAAGGGATACAGAAACACCACCTTAAGAATTCTAATCAAGGATATAGAACAATAGAAGTTTACTACTCTAAAAAATCCAACTAAGAGATACAGAACTTGAAGAACAATCTTAAAAGATTGCTTAAGGATAAAGAAAACTCTATTATGCATTTTACCAAAGAATAATAAAAAATGTATAGGCTAGAAACATCTTTCCAAACATGGGAACTTTCAAATTGTATTGCTAGAATTGTGCCTAAAATCAAAGAATTTGCATGTGAACACAATAATCTATAATGCGAACACAATCATCTGCCCATTCATTCTTACAAATTACATAATAATGAATCTGATCATAATTCCATCCATATTCATACTCTTTTTTTTTAGCTAGTGTGAACATAATCTTTTTATTCTAATCCACCTTATTTCTACATTTATTTATTGGATTTGGACCAAGAATAGACCCTTCTTATTTTTGGATAAGTCTTCTTTAGTCTTAGCCCAAATTGTAAGATATGTTGACACTCCAGTGTTAATTTTCTCTGGATGAAAAATATTTGTCCTCAAGTTTGAATTTGTCTTCTCACCATAGTAGGGTGACAAATCAGCAACATTGAAAGTGGAAGATACTCTATAAGTGTCGAAAAGTTTTATCTTGTAGGCATTTTCCCTAATGCGTTGGAGAATTCTAAGTGGACCATTTCCCTTAGGTTATAATTTGTCAAACTTTTCTAGAGAAAAAATATTTTTCACAAGTTAATCTACACCAAATCATGTTCTTTGAACTTTATATGTATTTGATGCATGATTATTGCCTTTTTATATTTTTCATTTTTTTGTAAAATTTTATTCTGAACCTGTTAATGAAATATTTTGATACTCTTGGCTCTTTCTTCTATATCTTTATTAAAATGCTGATTAGTATAAATTTGAATTAAAATCAAAAGACATATTGCATTCTTACTAAAAAATTTTTTTAAAAGGCTGCAACCAATGATTTGATTTGGTGAACGGTTGTAAGCAAACTTCATAAGTTCCCATTGTTTTAGTTTCTTTTCTGTATACCTTTTCAAGAAAATTTTTACCTTGTTAGGTAGAACAGCTCTTGGGATAAAATCTATGCAGTGTTGAATGTCCTTCATTAGCGGTAGACTAACTGGTAACTCCTCTCGAACAATATCTTGAAATTCTGCCAATAGTGGTTGTATCATCGTAGAAGGCTCTTCATTGTCTTTATTTTCTTTAATCAACAAGTGTGCATACATAGTACCATCCATCTTAATTTTTTTTTTGTAATGGACCTTGGTAAACAAGTTGCTTCTTTCCCTTTTGGTTGGTTTGGACATCAGCATGGGTTTGGTAGGGCCTAGATGATTTTGCATCCATCTTTCACAAATGTATAAGTGTTACGGTAACCATCATAAATAATCCTCATATCATAATGCCAAGGTCTTTTGAGCAGTAAATGGCAAGCATCCATTGAAGCTACATCAAACCACACTTTATCCTTGATTGCTTTCTTATAGAAAAAGAAACCAAACACATCTTGGTAACCTTGATTTCATTCTCTTTTTACCGTCAAAATAGCTTATATAGTTGAGGATAACCCACTGCCTTAAGGCCTAATTTGTTGTATTGTATAACAAGTGAGAATTCAAGATCATCATAGGTCTTCTTAATATCTTTTGCAAGATATTAAAATACTTCAATAGGTTCTCTATCAATATCTTTAAAATTTTTATCTTCAACCAACGTAACTATCTTGAGATTTGGACACTCAGAATTTATATGCCTAACTCTTGTGTACTTAAAGTCTTTTTGGGTTTGAGTGTTGACAACACTAGATTGTGGTTTGTTAAGAATGGCTCTTTCCTTTTTTATATATAGATTTGAAGGGAGTTTGGTAAAAATATTGGTCTTGGACATGCTTCCCTTGTTAATGTATTCTTTCACTAAAAGATCCTTTTGCTTTAAGTTATAAAGCCTAAAGAAGACGCTTTGTCGAAAGTTATCTAAGAGATATTTTCTCTTTAACTCTTTTTTTATTTTCTCTCAAGTTGTAATTTTTCTCTTACCTTGTCTTTCTCTTTGTTTCTTTAGATTTTTTCACTAAAAGGATACATGCTTTTTAAGTTTGATGACCACTAGGTTCACCTTACAATATTTAGGGGCATCATGGTATTCAAATATGTGTTTCATCATGGGTAGCCAATCTAAGAATTTTTCAAGTTGCATCCTCTTCTCGAACTTAAGAATCACTATCTTTGGATTGAATATGCTAGGTTGAAGTTAGTTTTTGCATAGATAGTTTATGACTTGTCATGGGTGAGATAGGGTACTATTATTAGAATCACTGTTATTTTTTGGTATGGATTGGTTTCTCCTTTATCTTTTTTGTTTATTCTTCATTACCTTCTTATCTCCTCTTTTTTTTTTTGTATATGCAGCTGATGTTGTAGTTAAAGGATCTATTACTGTATCTCTTTTATAAGAGCATCCCTTAAGTCAATATTGATAGTTATTACAACATCGGTGTTGGCTTTAACCTTTTCTTTTAATGCTTGACGATGATAACCTGCCATAGCTTGGATACCAATTTGATGCTAGAAATTAATAATTTAGATGTTGGAGATTAACTACAAATAAAAAAACTTAAAAATAGGACAACTCACAAAATTTTAAATAATGGTAGAATATAATTATTGCTTTAAAAGGATAAAGGTTCACCACCAAAACTAGAAACTAAGGGATATAGAAATACCATCCTAAGAATTCTAATTGAGGAAACAGAACAATAAAAGTTTATCACTCTAGAAAATTCACCTAAGAGATATAAAACTTAAAAAACAATCTTAAAAGATTACTTAAAAATAAAAAAACCTCTATTCTGCCTTCTCCCAAAGAATAATAAAAAATATATACGCTAAGAACATCCCTCTAAACATAAAAACTTTCAGATTATATTGCTAGAATCATACCTAAAATCAAGGGATTTGTATATAAACACTAATTTATAATGTGAATGTAATCATCTACCCATTCACTTTTGCAGATTATATAATAATGAATCTGATCATATTTTCTTCCATATTCATGCTTTTTTTTAGCTAATGTAAACATAATCTTCTTATTTTAATCTACCTTATTTTTGTATTTATTTATTAGATTTGAACCAATGATAGGCCTATCTTATTTTTGCATAAGTTCTCTTTAGTTTCAGCCCAAGTTGTAAGATGTGTTGACACTTTGGTGACATTTTTTACCTATCAAAAGAGAGCTAAAAAGTGGTCTAGTAATTGATGGGTTTTAGTTTCAAGCTCACTAGAGGGTAGAGTCCTAACAAAACTACCTGCAACATAGGTGGGGATTGGTTACCCTAACAAAATAATACCATACATAAGTAGTCCATAGTTCAAGCATATAATAAAGGTATTTAAGTCGATGTTCAAGACTTTGGTGCCTTCTTGGCTTAACGTCGAATTGGTGACCTGACTTTTATGGAAACATACTTTTCACTATAGTAGCTTATTTCAATAAGATTTTAGTACAATAACTTTTCTTTAACTGAGAGAGTAGATTAATGATCTGTTTGTTAATTTTACAAGATTTTCTAATACAAAGTATCCATACAACTGCAGAGCATACTTAACTTATATCACTGCAAATCATGAAATAAGAGAAAGATATTTGGATATGAACTTAACTAGTGAAGAAAGACAAAGGATTACTAAAAAAGAAGAGAGTTTTTAGCCAAACATATTTTATAAGCAATATTTTTTTATAAGAGAAGATGAGATTGAAAAAACTTGTTTCTTCTAAGAGAAAGAGCTTACAATTTATACAAAAAAAATAAACAAATAGTAACTTAATAGGCTAATTCATGATCATAATCCATGACTAAGGTGACTAACACGACATAAAGTGACTTTAATAAAGTTACTTTAACAAAGTAGCTTTAGAAAAGTAGACATGACTCGATAACTAAAAAGTGATATAAAGTTAACATAAAGCTTGATGGTGAGGTGAGGCATCAACATCAACTTTGGAGTCTTCTAGAGGAAAGCTGAGAAACATCTAAAAAGTATCATCACACATAATTATAAATAATTGGACTGAAATGAAAAATTTTTTCTATAGCACCATGTTTGAAAACTAGATCATTCTGAAAAATATTTAAGATGCTGGATGGATAAACAATTGTTTACCCATTAAAAAAGTTTTTTTTCAAAATCTTTAAGATCCTAGTCATAGTTTTGAAATAGTTGGCTGTATATACTATTTTCAAATCTATTTTTTATTCTTACAACATTTTTTAGATTTTGCCAATAAGGATTTGTTGAAAGTTGAACGAGATCAATAGGATTAAGAAGATTAAAGTTTACAAATCTTTTGGACAAGTCACTCCACCAGTTGTCAAATGGAAATTCGATAGTCCATTTTTGGAGGTAATTGTGTAATTCTTGAATGTACTCTGAGGGTACCACCACTATGGTTCTTTTTAAAATGAGAGAATTCTGTAAGGATTTAGAT